AAATGGTGGGGGGGGGGGGACGAAATGAGAAGTAAACCTTGTTGGGGACCAGGGGGCGAATCCCCCGGAAGCTCTGGTGCATATAGCCTTGTAACTGATTTTAAGCAATGCAATTAACATATATTTCAATACAAAATTTTCAAAATATCCAGTGGCATATCCAGTAATTTGAAATAGAGCTGGGCCCAGAGAGGGACTTTTACAGATGGAGAGTGTAGACTACCTTGGCCCCACCATGGTTGGGGCTGAGGTAACAAAAATTATGATTATGGCACCTCTAGTTGGTTGGAAATGGCACTCTCAGACTGAACTTAAATAATTGAATATAATTTTATTTTTTTTCCACTTTTAAATTTCGAAAAAAAAAAATCTATAGGGATGGTGGGATGGCTGGGCCCCTTGAATCTGCCACTGAAATACTTATCATAAAAAACTTTTTAAAATTATCCTTTTAGTCATAATTATGACCGCTTATGTATTTCGTGCAAACTAACCTTTATAATAATAATTATTTATTATCTACTGCTTAGCTTGTAACGTTTTTAAAATTCGAACCATGAAAAACAAATAAGATAAATTTAAAGTCATTAATTTAGTCTTTTTGCATGTACAGTATTTTTAAAATCAATCAAGAGGTTTTTGCTTTTCTACTTTTTTTGAATTTTACTTTTGTGTAAGTAATATTGCGACTACACTATTGTGAGTGGAAATAATACCGTTTATACGATCAAACAGGACTAGGGAGGGAGCACACAAAATTAGTTGGCATTTTGATTTCATAAAGGTGATTTACTTAATTTATCATTATCAGTGGCGGCTCCAGGAAAGCAAATTAGAGGGGCGACAGGGAGGGACTTGAACGTTGGGAAAGCAGATCACCTCAGCCCAACCATGGTTGGGGCTGAAGAAAGAAAATTGCGAGATTGCGTCAACGTAACACTGTAGTTTGTAAACTTTTGGTAGGCCTATCACTTAATCGAAATAGATAGACATATCCGTGTCAAAGGCTGTATATAATTATTGTTTAATAATGGCTATATAAAATTCAATTGACTAAATATAATTTTTTGAAATTAGGAAAAACAGTAATCCATAATATTAAACACTATAGCATAACGTACGGGTCATAATAATATACAAAAGGAATAAATCGTTTATAGTAGAAATTGTGCACTTTTGAGTTTGTAAAAATATTGGCCTAATAAGTATACACGCTTCCAATTTTAACAACGTTCAGTACATTGTTTTCACAATAAATTTAGCCTCTGATAACCGTTGCACCCATAAAATCTATCTAGTGGTTTCTGAGATGGTTACGAAATGTATAAACAATTGCGTTTTTACTCGGTTTTGGTCCGGAAAATACGTACCGCACTTAGAAATGTGAACAGACAAAATTCATGAGTCATGCGTAATTGTTATTCTTTCCATTCGCTTTTAAAAGTGGGGATTTAATTACAGAAGATTGGTAAAAAGTGGGGGAGGACAATCGATATGATGTTCCCCCCCCTACTTTGAAAAGTGGGGGGGGGGGCGTCCCCCTGTCCCCCACGCCCATGCTTACAACAGATTCTGCATAGGCCTAGCTTCACGAAAATGAGGCATCTAGACGGCTGTTGCGGGTTACTGGACGCACAATCTAGGACTAGGCACCCGGTTGGACTACTGAAATGTCCCCCTGGTCCGACCTAGTCCAGGCTTAAGTTAGAGGGAGCCTAGACCGACAAATGTCCATAATACGAATACCCTATTC